TCTTAGTGCTTTGTGCCAGTACACATTTCTACTGAAACAATGTCTATTAATGGCAACAATGTGTTTGTGAGTCATTCTCTTTGTGGAAATACCAACTGTTCTAAATGGTATTGATTATTTTAAGATTTCTAAGTATTTAGTTGTCTACATCATCGTCTAAATGCCTCTTTGACCAGTAGAGCTTAAGTGTTTGGTTTAGACCTTCACCACTGTTAATGAATCAGTGCTGTCATTACATACACCTTCAGGTGGATCCAGAACAGAGGTACTTATTGTCCTGTTTATAGGAGCCTTGCCCAACACTCTGACTGTGTCAACAGCTTTGAGATAACACGGTGCAGCACTGACTCACATGGAGCATTGGGCATCTGGCTTGATTGTTCTGACCCCTGCACCAGGCTGTAGACTGGGGTGCATGTTCTTGTCTTCTTGAGCCTTATGTTACAATATGGACTGTATATTACCTTGTGTTTAAATTGTCTGTTAGCATTCACAAAGGAGATGTGTGGCCTCGAATATCATCCTCCAGACTAAATCAAATCACCTGTGAATCATTTGGCTCAGTGTCACAGGCCCAGTTCTGACCTGGTGTCCCCAAATGTGTCCTGTATGCATCCTGACATCTGATCACTCAGACCTCACTATTCACAATTGTCTTGAATACATTTCAGAGAAGAAACAGAAAACACAAAACTTCAAATTTTAAACAATCTCGTGGGAATTTTTTTCATCAAATCAATATTCAATGATGCAATGATATTTAAAAGGATCTGTGCTAATATGAAGCTGTGTGAACTCTTTACGTAAACTCAGTGTTTTGTATATGAAGGTAAAAATTGAACAAGAATACTGTTCTCTGTGAGTTCAGATGTTCACTGTCAAAACAATGTAATCACAAAGTGTTGTAATGGTCAATGACAAATAGCAAAGGGATTTAAAGAATAGTCTGGAAAGGAAAATAGTGAGAATTGATGAGAAATGGAAGGAAAGTAAATGACAGACAGGGGAGCTATTTTAAAGCAAAATATTCTGTGCTGGAGGGGATAGTGAAAAGTACATGGGCATGAGGCCGAGAGGATTGAGTTCAGATGGCATGAGAGAAATAGCAGGTGGAAAATGTGGACACAGGAGGCGGAGGAGGAAGATGGGGAGGGATAAAGGAAATGAGGGCATCAATATGAGCCTGTCTGTGTTTACAAAGCATTACTGCAGCAGAGGAGAGCAGGAGAGGAGCGTATTCTCAAGCCAGCTGACACACCGCTCGCAAGACCCAACTCAATTGATTGAGATAGACGTGTTCATATCACCGTCTGCCATGGGCCGCGCATTAACACCAGTACCATCTGCAGTGGGTGAGGCAAGTACGTGCAGGCGTGCATGTGTGTGTATGCATGTCAGCGTCAGTGTGTGCTACTGTCAGCCACCCAGGGAGCCAAGCAGAGGCTACAGACCAGGTTATGTAACCAGTCTGTGCCAGCTGCGCCTGTGGCAGTCAATGTCTCAAAAACACACTTTGACAAAATAATTGCTGCATACATGATCGCACACACACCCACAGTTCTCTTCAAACATTTACACAGACACATGCAGCCAAGCCTGTGAGTGTAAACCCTGTAGCCATGCGTGAGTGTGCAAGTGTTGGCCCATGTAACATGGTCCACGTGGGTGGTTATTGGGGTCATTTTATTTATTTTTGCAGGGCGGGGTGGCGGGAGCTGAGAGGCAGGCGGCTTCATTGTGACATTAGGTTGAACTCTAGCGCTAATGAAGAGGGCAAAAAAATAAAAAGAGGTGGATGAGGGCTATGGAGGGTTTTTGGGATGCTGCCAATGGATCGCTGAGGGTATTACGTAAAAGAGACAGTGGGGGGGAGGAAACTGGGTGTGGGAGGGGTGTCTTCTGAATTCTGCACCTTGATTGCCATTGAGAAAAGTGAAAGGTCATAGATGGATGGATGGATGACAGGGCGGGAGGAGGCTGCATGATATTGAATGCAGGAGGAACACTGGGAGAAGACAAAGAAGAGCAAGGCAATAACTATGATTTGGAGAATAAATACAGAATGGGGGAGAAAGAGTGAGGGAGTTTGTCAGTGGGTCAAAAGGCGTGGGTGAGTGGGCACAGCCAGAAACAAATCTGACAGACGGAGGGACAAATGGAAGGATTTGAAAAGGTAGCAAAGAGCGGTGCCAGGTGCCAGGATCTGAGCAGTGGGAGAAAAAGCTTGAAGCCATCTCCTGATGAAACCCCCTCTGGCCTTGAAGCAAAGGCACAGCGAGACACACGCACTGTTCAAATTATGCATGAGTGTCTTTGTCTGGCTTCTCCTCCTGCAACGAGCACACGCTGACTCAGCCCATGACTTTCCAGGCTAAAGCAGAAGGTCGCTGTTTGTGTGTTTAGTGGGCGTTTGAGTTCCTGTCACAGTGTTCAAATCACCATGGTCTTCTCTGTAGACATCAATATGTCACTATAGTCAGGAATACGTGCACATTTTGATTGGTACATTCCAACGCTTCTTTGTCCTTGCTGCTTTGTTGGGAAGATGACACTGGCCAGCAGATGAAGTCTAGACGTCTGAGTACAGTTCACTGTAGGTTGTGGGCTAAAAATGAAACCTGAGCTCTGCAGCTACTCTTTCCGCTCGTCTGAGCCACTCTGCTCTGCTCTCACGGTCCCCGGCCTCTGTTCCTCCCCCTCAGTCTTGCAATTAAAAATAATCGCCCGAGTTTGTGAAAGCTTGTGAAGTATAAATATAATCCAGAGAGCAGGTGCATATCTGTGAAGTGCAGTGGTGTGCGAGCACATAATTGTGTTATGTGTGTTGACCGACCCATGAACAGAATCAGCACTTGGAGCCTGAGATGGAGGATGATTTCTGGGGGGCTGGTTATTCTTGATCCCCCTGAGAAACTGTCTGTGCCAACACCACGGCCAAGGCCGACTCATGATTACATCACTGCTTGCATCCCCCCATGCCTCACAGCCTGGCCCTAAGCTTATTACCACATGCACACGTCACACAGTTCCATAAGTCAGCTGCACAGGTTCTTAAACTACACTCTGGTCTTTCCTCTGTCTTCGTCTTGGAAAACCACACATTTGACAGTGGAGAGGAGCGTCAGCAGGAATACCTGTTCCTCAGAGCAGCTTTGGTTATTGTTGGTCGTGCCCTTTTGATCCCCATGGCATGACTGACTGATTCTAATGCTGGGCTGACAGTCGCCCTCTTTTTCTCTAAGACTAATAATCCCCTCTCTGACTTGTCCCTCATGCAATCCCTTTTGCTTATCTGTTGTTGCATTGGAAACGCTGGGAGTTAAAAAATACTACATGTCCTCTCATTGCTTATGTCAGTTTCACATGTCCTTTCCCACATATCGCACCTGCGTCATGCAGGTTTCAACCTTGGCCCTTCTTTCCTCTTTTCTTAAGAGGGCCTCTGCTTTGGTAGCTGCCACGGCCATCAGGCAAATCGGTTGAGGCTGCGTTTTATTGCTTCTTCTATCTCCTCTCTATCTGTAGTACGTGTCTCTCAAGGTGTTGCAGCCAGACAGGAAGCAAGAGCAAAAAAAAAAGAGTATTTATAACCCTGAAAGGCTCTAACTGTACCATATGGACCATTCATATAAGAAACCTCTTTGACAGGCTGAACACAGGTAGGATCCCTGAGCTGCGCTTCCTGGCTGACGCACTTCTTTGACAGGAAACCAGGAAACATTTAGGTGTTTTTTTGTTGTTGCTGAAATGAAGAATCAATCAAGTCTCTGGAAGCTTCTGTGCTGCAGCAGTAGAGTTAAGAACAGGATCGCAGGGTGCACACACATGGCTAATGTGTCCGGTGAATAGATGCCATTTTTAGCCGCTGTTGTGCGTCTGTCAGCGGCGGACAGGAGCGCTGCAGCAGCATCCATGTCAATGGAATAACAAGCGAAGGGCCTTTATGAATGTTTCAGAAGCTCTATTTATGGGACCTAGGGGTGGCTCTTTGAGCAAGGACGGATGGACTGATTAACTGAGTACAGGTCTAACTGTTAGTGTGTGGGCAGGTTATGCAATAGAGCAGAATCGTAATGTTGTAAAAAAAAAAAAAAAGGGTTGCAACATGTGTTTTGACATGTCAGAAATGTTTGTAAGCAGTTTATGAAAAGGGATTCTGATAATCTCTTCACATTGATGTGTGGTTTTACAAGAGGAAGTCAGTTGAGCTGTGTGCATAACCACCTCCATCCTGTGCTGGGGTTCAGTCTGAAGCTGACAGGTCATCAAACATGCAACCGTGCAAATCTACAGTAAATATATTTAACCCCCGGTGCACTTGACCTAAAAAGTTTAATACAAATGGCTTCATGATATCAGGAATATCTAATGACTGGATTACACTGGAGGTGCAACCTGTTTTTACTGAGCTCGATAAATCCACGTTTTCATCATGCAGCTGCACCACGGAACAACACGGAATCCTGAGGGCAATTTAAGTTTCTTCTTTTTATTTTCTTGCCATGTATTGTTTATTTTCTGTTCTTGACTATATTGTAAATGAGGTCTCAATATATCCCCAAGTTCAAATGAAGGTTTAATGAATGGATGAATGAATAGATTCTAATATCTGTTTTCTCTCAAGCTAAGATGCTATCATTGCATCAAAAAGGGGAACAGATTTGACAGTGAGCTCAAGGGGAGTCTCTCTTTGTCTCTCTCACTCTGTGTGTGTGCTGTTACAGAAATAGCGCTGCAGTCCCTCTCTTCCTCAGCCTGCGAGCCATGTGTTCTATTGAGGAGTTTGGCAGAAGCCCCTGAACACTGGTCATTATGGCTACAGCTAAAGCTTAGAGATTTAACAAAGCTTCCCTAACCTGGACGGGGTAACAGTTAAAAACCTACTGTGCCTGATGCTTGTCACTTTTGCTGTTGCTGTAACTTAATTGATGTGATTTGAATTTTCCATGCATATTGCATTAACCTCTTTTCTTTCTTTCTCTGTCTCCTCAATTTTCCAGGGCCCTCTCCATGGATATAGACACAGATTATGAGCGCCCCAATGTGGAAACCATTAAATGTGTGGTGGTCGGGGATAACGCAGTAGGCAAGACCAGGCTAATCTGTGCCCGCGCCTGCAATGCCACCCTCACACAGTATCAGCTGCTTGCCACCCACGTGCCAACCGTCTGGGCCATCGACCAGTACCGTGTATGCCAGGAGGTGGGCACATGCACACGCAAGCAAACAGAGCCACATATAGACAAACTTGGGTACACTTTTAGTAATGGTACTGAGGCTAATTTAGTTTGTTGTGCATTTGTGACATTGGTAAAATCACCACTTTGCATTGTCCTTCAATTCCACCATACTGAAAGATGGGGCTTTTGACTTGATGACGTGTGTGTGTGTGTGTGTGTGTGTGTGTGTGTGTGTGTGTGTGTGTGTGTGTGTTGCAGGTGTTGGAGAGATCTCGTGATATAGTGGATGAGGTCAGTGTGTCCCTGAGGCTGTGGGACACATTCGGGGATCATCACAAAGACAGACGATTTGCCTATGGCAGGTGAGCAGCATATGCACACACACACACACACACACACACACACACACACACACACACACACAGACTCTACTGACAACACTACAGACAACACTACAGAACCTACTGACAACACTACAGACTCTACTGACAACACTACAGAACCTACTGACAACACTACAGAACCTACTGACAACACTACAGACTCTACTGACAACACTACAGAACCTACTGACAACACTACAGACCCTCTGCCAACATCCTACAGAACCTACTGACAACACTACAGACTCTACTGACAACACTACAGAACCTACTGACAACACTACAGANCACACACACACACACACACACACACAGAGAGACTGTCCAGCAGCCAGAGGTAACACAGTTGCTGGTCGGCCGCTTGTTTAACTACCTTGCAACACACATTTGGCCAGTTGGCTGTTTAACTTGCAAAGCACTGACACAACTTCCTTGGGCTGACAAAAGATTTTGTCGTCCAATTCAAAAGAATCTAAAGCCATTTTGGTCCTGGAAAACTGGGTCTGGACATTTTCCTTTTGCATATCAAGGATATAACATATAAATTCCGCTGCATTTTTCCTTACAGCACATCAACACTGGTGCTGGTCCTTACTGCTTAAAACACTCAAATCATCTCTGCTTCTTCTGCGTGTCTCTTCCAGCTGTATTCTAACACAGGCTCACTCAGACATTTTTAGCAGGGTGCTGGCAGGAAACGTTCTGTAAAATATCCGTAGCAACTGACTCAGTCATTTGCGATTTCACACAGAGCACCTCTAGAAAAATTTTAGGAAGATGTCCGGAGTTCAGTGCATATCTGACAGCAGCTTAATTTACAATGAGAATGTAACTAATCCATCACACCCACATAAACACACCCGCATAACATTTACCAACCCAGATTTCTTTTTTTCGTGCGGTGCAGCTGCCACGCTTTTTAGTCGACCTCTGCCCTCAGGCTGTTACACACTTCCTCCACCGACATGATTGGATCATCGCTCTATCCTCTTACATCCCCATCCCTCTATCAAAGCTGATTTATTGGCATGAGTGCAAAAGCACTTACAGAGCAAAATCAGGAAATGCCTATTCAACGACAGTGACCAAACATGGTCATGTGACAGTAGCACAGGAATGTAATGATACATTACATCATTGAAGAAGGATTGTAAACAGAGATTTGATTATTTATCGATATAATTATGTAAATGCAGTCACATTTTTCTGTTTTAGTTTAACATTTCCATTTTCCATTGTACTCAAATCTTTCATCCTCCAATTTGTCATGTTCTATTACTCTTCACACACACAAAACTGCAATGTGTGAGTTTTCTCGATGGCGAGTGGATTTACACGTCACCACGTCATCTCATTGCAAGTGTATCTATGTGACAGATTGTGTGATTGTGCTTTTGTAGGTTGAGTGTGGTTTCGCTTGTGTTCTTTCACTCTCTCAGTGTCTGTTTGTGTGTGTTTTTAGCGTGTGTGCGTGCATGTCCTGTATGCTCTGTCAGCCTGCAGTCAGCTGATAGAGACACGGTGCCAGTTCAGCTGTTTTCTGCCTGCCTGCCTCTCTGGCGTCTGCAAGTCCAGGCATCGACCTCCTCTCATTCTATTCCACCTCCTCCTCTTGAGACTCCGTTCATCCACTTGTTCTTGCAGGCCCGTCCCTCTCCTCCAGCTTGACAGCAGACTCCTCACCTGACCTCCGCTCTCCCCCATTTCCCTCATTACCCGGTTGCTTGACTCTCATAATTGTTCTTCCCGCTTCTGTGCCCTTGACACCTTGCTGCTCCTTCACCTTCTCCGCACCTTCCTTCACTTTGTAGCCCTTTTGTTGATATCAAAACTCAAAACATCATATTGTCAGACAATAGCCACATGTTTTCTTAAGAAAGGAACTTTCCAGTATAAGAAAACAATCTCTGCCCAACAAGGCAAACTTCACCTGAGCCAACCTGGAGTTAAAATGTACTAGAAAACTAAATCAAATTTTTCTCTTTGAGTAGAAAAACAGTCTCATATTGCACTTGCACCTCTAGTGCATGATCAACTTTTATGGTGCTGTTGTGAGAGAGTTAATGACTGATGAGGGGTGTGAGTTACATAGGTTCCTGCATGACACCTATTCAATGATTTATGACAGCAGATTACAGACGACAGACAGATGATTATTGAGGTCATCACTGCTGTGTTTGTTATTTATTACATAACACACACAAATCTCTAATCAACCACTCGCAGTGGTGGAACTATTTATCACAGAGGTAACAGGTTTTATTATGGCAGATCCGTGTATATTCTTCCCCTCAAACCTGAAGCAAAGTTCCTATTCACTATATTTGTTTAACAATTTCCAATATTTATTTATGTTACTTGTTCAAACCGGTTAACTTTCACTTTTGAATCATACTGTTACATGGTGGTTGTATATTATTGAGATCCATCACCCCGCCGTCTTCTCACCGATCACACTGTCACACCTCTCTATCGTCTTCCTTTGTGTCACCTCTTAGCTCTGCAGCATAAAGCTGCAGCAGTGATTCCTTAGGTTCAAATACTTTAATCTTTACCACACAACTTTACAAACAGGTGCTTTTGAGAGAGTGGTTGGACACGTTTCATTTCCTTTGGCTGCTGGAAGCCTTCGAAAAAAATGTGTCTACATTGGTGGCAAGTACAATGCTCTGCTACAAAAAGCTGCAACGGCCTTTATGGCAGCGAGGCTTAAGTTTAACCACGAGAGCAAAGGCACGTACACATAACATGACCTCAAATAGACTAAGTCATGGTAATGATCCTTTGACAAAGTGCTAATGGGAATTCCTGTGTGTGTGTGTTCGTGTGTGTTCGTGTGTGTGCGTGTGTGTGCGTGTGTGTGTGTGTGTGTGTGTTATGGCCTGGGGCATTTGAGCTTTTGAGAGATTACATTAGTGAAAGTAAAGATCAACCACACAGCCCATGTCTACACTGTAAAAAATAACCTTTGTAACAAAACCCGTTGTAGTGCTGTAAGTAATTCAGCCACATTTTCTAGGTGCTTTTTACTTTATCTCATTTAAGTTGTTTTACATCACCCCCTATAAAAATGCTCACTTACTCTGTTGGCCTATTTGTTTGATTTGTGCAAAGTTAAGTCAAACTTAAAGTAAGGTTAAATACTATAGACAAATACATATATACATATATATTTTACAGTGCAGCTTTGTCTGCTAATGGCCATGTTTGCTGTAGCACAGGTATTTTGTACGAAGGGAATAAGAGCAGCATTAAAGTCTAATGCTGCTCTTAAGTTCAAGATTCCTTTTAGTGTCTCACATCTTATATATAAATATATATTAGAGTACTTGCTGGATATAAGTGATGGTTAATGTTGCATGGAAGTAACTGTGGTCAAAAGCTGTGTGTTGTGATATTTTAAGAAGTACATAACTTAGAGATTGGAGATTTTTGCTCTGTCAGCATTGTTCTCACACTAGATGATTTGTGTAACTGACACAGAGCTCTATCAAACATTACCCCGAAACACACATGTACCAACATGCCACTGAAATATCATCTCCAGGGGACAGCGGCATTTGCCGTCATCTGCTTGCTCAAACACATCGGTTGAGGAAATTAATTTGTGTGTGTGTGTGTGTGTGTGTGTGTGTGTGTGTGTGTGTGTGTGTGTGTGTGTGTGTGTGTGTGTGTGTGTGTGTGNTGTGTGTGTGTGTGTGTGTGTGTGTGTGTGTGTGTGTGTGTGTGTGTGTGTGTGTGTCCTGATCTATTCTTAGCCTCCTCTTTGTGGTCAGCGTGGCCTTGGAGGGCTTAGGGAGATTTACATAAGAGACAGAGAGATGGGCAACATAGATCAGCAGCCTAGGGCCCAGACTCATACATAGCTGCACACCGAACACCCCCATGCGTTCTGTGACCCACCTCATAAATTTCTAAATGGCACCATCCAGAATCTAACAATGCCTTAAGTTTCTTCCATATACGCATCATACATGTTTAAACATAAACACACAAGAACTCTGTATCCCCTTTACTCCCTCAAATATCACATGTAAATAAATAAAACAATAAATTCTCCTATGACACATTTTCCCTTCTCATGTTTGACTTCTTACTCTCCTTCGTTTCCCGTAGGTCCGATGTGGTGGTGCTTTGCTTCTCTCTGGCCAATCCCAACTCCCTGCGCCACGTCCGCACCATGTGGTTCCCGGAGATCAAGCACTTCTGTCCCCGGACGCCCATCATCCTGGTCGGCTGCCAGCTGGATCTGCGCTACGCCGACCTGGAAGCGGTTAACCGTGCACGACGGCCCCTTGCCAAGTGAGACACCAGATTTTATTTGCACAGAATCTGCCACATGGTGGATGAAGATAATCACACTTTTTACCTCCACCTTGCCTGTATTTGAATTGATAATCATAAAACTGTCATCTTTAACAATGTCATCTCTTCCTTACTTGCAGACCAATCAAACCTACAGATATTCTTCCTCCCGAAAGAGGCCACGAAGTTGCAAAGGAGCTTGGGATACCCTACTACGAGACCAGCATTGTTGCCCAGTTTGGGGTGAAAGATGTTTTCGACAATGCCATCCGAGCCGCTCTGATCTCCCGTCGACACCTGCAGTTCTGGAAGTCCCACCTGAAAAAGGTCCAGAGGCCCCTCCTCCAGGCGCCCTTCCTGCCTCCTCGCCCACCACGCCCAATCGTGGGCATCCCAGATCCCCCTCCCACAGACGGCGAGGGCCCAGATTCTCTTTTCTGCCAGCCACTGTGCACCGATGTCCTTTTCCTCCTGCAGGCTGGCGCCACTCGCGTCTTTGCACATAAAGTCTATCTGGCAACTTCTTGCTCCAAGTTTTACGACCTCTTCACCCTGGATCTCGGTGGATCGTGTGTGATGCCGAGGGGGGAGGAGCAGGAGAGCAAGGAAAACTTGGAGGGCGGGGAGGAGGATGAGCAGAGCAGGAGAGGAGCCAAGGAGCAAGCCGGGCGCACTAAGAGCCTGGACATTGATAAAGACGGGGTTGATGGAGGAGTGCGGGGCCTGAATCGACCCCAGCTGCTCCAGCAGGGCTCTTTGAGGACTTCCCAGAGCGATAATGCGCTCCCATCCCGAGCCCAGTACTCCCTGGGAGGTCTGGGCACTGGCCGAGCACTTTCAGGATGGGGGAGAGGGTTCCTGAGCGTGTGTCTGGAGCACGTCGATGATCCAATGACTGGACGACCACGACTTGTGACTGTGGTAGCCATGGATGCTCTTATACAAGAAGAGCCATTTAAGGTGATGGACCTCAGAGCAACAAGTATATTATAAAATATATTCATACAATAGGGCAATATTCTGTTGTGTGTCGTAGATATGAAATGTTCATTCCTGCAGGTTTTGACTAGCTGCTCATTTGACCTCTCGACCTGATCTGCTTCCAGGCGGTGCTTCAGTACCTGTACACAGGCAGTCTGGACGAGGGCCGAGGGGACCTGATGCAGGTGGCCACCATAGCGGAGCTGCTCGAGGTGTTTGATCTGCGGATGATGGTGGCCAATGTTCTGAACAGAGAGAGCTTCATGAACCAGGAGATCACCAAGGCCTTCCACGTCCGCAGAGCCAACCGCATCAAGGAGAGTCTCAATAAAGGGACCTTTGCTGGTAAACCACTGTGCAAATCACTCAGTGCCTCAATAATTGCACTTGCATTTGTGTCATTGTAGATGTTGTCCATGTGCAGTAGGTGTTTGCAACATAGACTGTATATGAAGATGGATGACATGAGTTGACCATCTTTATATAGTCAATGTCTGTAGAACTGTACATATCTGTAAGTGTGTGTGTGGGGGGGGGAGAGATGGCGTAGTTGAGTATTATGACAAGTTAAGGATGAAAAAGTGAAAGAAAAAGACAGAAAAGAAGTTGCTGATTTTCAGCACCATTCTCTTTCTGTCTGTGGAAACTTTGTGTATATTTGCCTGTACTGTTTGTTTCCCACTTTTCATGGGTTGTGGTTAATCTCTTGTTTGGAAATCCCTTAAAGTCATCAAGTGACTCGATGACTGTCAGTCTGCTTGGTTGTCTTGTGTGTGTGTGTGTATTGTGTTGTGTGTCCCCCTAACCTGTTGTGTATGCATGTTATCATTGCATTGACAACCGGTCTGCTGTCTCTGAACAAGGCCTGTCTCGTTTTCACTTCTTTCTATACTTTCTCTGTTGTCCCCATGGTTAGAACAATATGGATCTTTTAAAATTAAATTTTAAGTGACTACTATTGATAATATACATAATCTGTGTTATACCATATTTTCCTCCAGGACTGAATTAAAACACATTAAGATGTAGCACTTTGCAGCATTATTACTCTACATCGCTGCTTTTTTGGTTTGACACAACCAACATTCACACAGGATTTATCTGTGACCTGCTACCCTGCGTCCGCTCTCTTTCTCTTACTCTTTGTCCTTCTGTCAATTTATCTCTCTGTCTGTCTATCTGTGTCTATGTCTTTGTGTGTCTCTGTCTGGCCTTCTGTCTGCCTGTGTGTGCGTCTGGACGTCTGCCTTGTCTGTCTCTCCCCCCTCTCTGTAGCTTGGGCTTCTGTGGCACTCCACGAGATGAATGCTCTTTTCCCACCCCGGTTTTAGATGTGGTGTTCCGCCTGGACGATGGCTTCCTCCCGGCCCACAAGCCCCTGCTCATCTCCAGCTGTGACTGGATGGCGGCCATGTTCCGTGGCTCTTTCATGGAAAGCTACGTAGAGGAGGTGAGCTCAAACATACCCCAAAGTGGTTGAGGATGGAATTTAGACCCCGTTCAGACCTGGTGTTAACCTCCATCCTGAGTGATCTGATCTCAAGTGGTCAGCGATAAGGACAGGAACCCACATGGGTCCTGAATGCTTCTTGAGATGTGATCAATCAAACTACATATGAGGGACGGCGAACTCAGCTGACATATTTTCGCGCTTTGAGTGTCCATACGTAGATTTGAGTGGAGCCACCGCAAAAAGTATCAACACTGATCACCACATCACACATGATTGACGCTTCTTTCTTCATAAAAAACTCGAAATTAGAGCTGTCCTCTCTGTGATCGATATTAGGACATCTATAACAGTAAACTCAGGTCAGCGTTGAGGGGAAATCCAATCACTCACCTGCGTTGAGCATGTGTCAACAACAGCACTGACATCTGATCAAATAATCAATAGATAAATAAGGTAAAGATAAATCAGATTGGATAAGGTTTATTATATTCAGGACAGTGTATAGAAACTGTGAAGAGTCACAGCTCAGGATCCTCGTGGCCTGTTATCAGATTGACCTTCACCTACAAATGCTGGTCTCTCTTTCTCACACACATGCATGTACACACACAACCTCCAGATGCTGTTTAGGTGACATGAAACTTCATCATTTGAGGCTGTGTCTTTATAACCATGCAGACCCCAATTATTAGTTTGTTGCACCATTGAGACACTGGGGCTCTCTAATTATTTAATCAGTAGTTAACATCCCTATGTAGCTTTTCAGGCAGCACTTGTTTCCATTGAAAATAATTCACAGATTACATTATCACATTAAAGACAAGCCAGCAGTTTGAAAACATCCTTTAGATTCAAACATTTGTGTGAGGGTTTGGGTTACAGCAAATTGGGGGGGGTTGTGCACTAACCCGTCTCAGTACCTCGAGTGAGCCCAGAAGAGGAGCTCCTTTGAGGTCAGCCCTCCTCATGTGCCGGGTCTGGTTACTTCAGATTTCTCCACCCAGTACTCCTCCGGTTGTTAGGGCCAGTGCACCGGACCCGGCCCTAACCACAGAGAGGAAGTTCATGTCACTTTACGTCGATGCTCCCTGGACTGTGTTGCAGAACCAGATCTCCTGGGGTATGGTTACTGTCAAGGTCAGCAGCGTAAGGTTACATAGATCCAACCCTGCAGAAGGATTAGAAGTAAGGAAGAAATGACGTAGAGAGAGCAAGACAAGGAATTAAAATGTTGCATATTCCCTTTAGAGGTCAAGTGTAAAGTTATAAGGAAAACTTATTTAGAAGTTGGAAAGAAACTGACGGTTTTCTGTGTTTCCATGTGGATAAACCTAGATTTTATTCCAGAACACAACATGTGAGTGGGTGTGAAAAGGCCATTGCATCTATTGTGGCCAGGGGTAAAAACAGGACATCAGCATCAGTGAGGGGGCTCAGTGTTTGGAGCTGGTGGGCTGCCGGTGTCTATGGTTACTCTACACAGTCCATGAAACTGGCACAGCACAGACGGCAGGTGCCCAGACAAGAGACAAAGACACAAAGACAGCGAAGCTCTCAGCGTTTACATGCTGTGTGTCTGTAAGTGGATTTTTCTTTGCACATTATTGAAGCATCATTTTAAGCAGCTGAAAAGCTTAACAATACTAAATTAATGGATTGAATTTTACATATCAACGGGAAGCTGCAGTTACTTCTTCCACTGGCTATAAAAGTTGCTTCCTTCCTCATTTGACAGGAAACGATGGTTGCTAAGTGTTACTTGTGTGCAGACTGTAATTTCAGAAAAAGAAATAAGAAGCAGTGTATCTCGAACTGAGCAGAAATGCTAACCAGTACACTTGTACTTCATCAGAAGCAGAGTTTTAAACATCATGGTTGATGATCTATACTGCGCAGACTCTGGCTCCAAGATGGCCGTGCTCGTATCCGCGATATTTTAACTTCATTTCTGGATAGAAGGAGGAATTAGAGACCCTTTGTCCATCTTTATATATAGTCTATGGTTGCAACTGAAGTCCCCACTCTGTCCTTTTCTAAATCAAATACATTGCACATATAAATGTTTCAGAGACTATCAACTTCTGCAGCTCATGATCACTCAGATTTTAAACATGGGAATATTCATTTATATATTCAAACTCAGTGGAAATCTAAATGAAAAACAACATTGTTAATGGGTTGTGGAAATCAACACAAAACTTCATCATGTTTTAATATTACAGCTGCTTTCTGTGAAGGAAGAGCGTCATATAAATCCACTACATACATGAAAATTCAAAGAACCTAAAACTCTGTTGGAGAGAGTGAGGGTAGCATGTGATCCGTCAGCGCCGTTCTATTTTCATGCTCAAGTCACACTTCCTCTTCAATATTTTTAGGCTCCAGATTTCACTGTTCATGCTGTTCTGTGACAACATGGTTAATCTGTGTGCAGAACAAAATTTATTATGATCATTACAATTTGTAGTATTATTCACTTAGCTTTAGTGAAGTGATGAGAAAACCTGAGTCCAAAGCATTTAAAAACTGACCACTGCATGTGTCATGGTACACCCTTGGATTATGTTCTAGGTGTAATCTTGTGGTTTTGTATTCACAACGTGAGCGTGCATCACAGCGGCGTATTGTCAAACATGAGAGCGTGCTAAGATCCCCTCTTACTCGTGAGAAAAGAGGTGACAGAAACAGGAAAGTCAACAGGAAGTGGTTATCAGTAGAAGATTTTCTTTCCCCTGTGGAGAAAGATTGACCTGTATTTTCTTACTCCTTCTCCTAAACTTTGTTCCTTATCTGTGGTTGTGGCTATTTTACAAGATGCACATTCAATTTTAACGTAAAGATCCAGTGTGTAAGATTTAGGTGAAAGGGAACTATTGGCAGAAATCTAATGTAGAATAATCCTCATAATGTTTTCACTAGTTCGTTTCATCTAAATTCTATGAATTGTAGTTTTCTTTACCCCAGAAAAGGCGCATTATATTTAAATACTTATATATATTTACATCGAGGGGTCCTCTCTATGGAGGCCGCCATGTTTTTTACATTAGTCCAGACTGGACAAACTAAACACCTTTTGAGTCTTTATGACCTTATCTTTCCTTTCCTTATTTTACCTTACCTGTCTTTTCCTTTTCTTTCCTTACCTTCCCTTCCCTTTCCTTTCCTTTCCTCTCCTTTCCTTTCCTTTCCTTTCCTCTCCTTTCTTTACCTTACCTTTCCTTTCTTTTACTTTCTTCTCCTTTTCTTTATCTCACCCAGTTTGTCTTCTTCTATTACATTTCATCTTAATTTTCTTCACTCTGAGCCCAAGCTTCATATCCATTCAAATAAACTAAATTTATGTTCAACTCATAATTAACCATTAGGGGGAGCGAAAGACAATAATCCATAGACTGTATATAGAGTAATAAACTCATGTTGTTTCTCACTGTGAATGTGACCACTCAATAATGCTTCCTGGCCCCAGCCGGGGCCTTTAAGCTCCGCAGACCACATATGTTCTCGGCTTTGTGATTTTCTTTCGTCATAATGAGAGGTCACACCACGATGACATTCTCCTAATTGGCTGAAGAGTGGCTACACACAGAGAGCTCCTGAGGGGTCAATTCATCCCCTCATCATCATTTAGCTTTCTTCCGCCCTTCCTGGGCTTAAACTGTATTAGCTGTTGATGAATTGCTGCTGGTCTGACTTACAGTAATTAGGCAGAATAAAAGGTCCTGCTCATTTCTATGCACTTGCAGGTGACAATAAAATGTAATAGTCCTCAATTACATGTTTCACATGTTGTTTTACTCCAATGCTAAACACGTTAAATGTGCATGTCTGGAACAGTTCAATCACCACTAATGATCACTAAAAACCAGGAGAGTGCATCTGTAAAATGTGACTGATATCCAGCACTGTCTATATCTTCAGAGAGTATCGATATAACCTGTCTGAGTGGAAAGGGTCTGAATCTGGATGTAGTTTTGTTGCACGATAAGGCCGAGCTTGCACCTCTCTCTGCTCAGTGTTGCCTGTTTGTGCTTTGGGATGTTTAGCTTTAGCCATGTTGCTCACATCACCAGCCCCCACACAGAGCTTTCATCTGAACCTACATCAAAGTGAATGTGGCGAGAACAGGATGTCCTCTGCCCTTTACCTCCAGATACCCTCGGGCCTGCTTTCTTTTGATATCACTGTTTTCATTTGGCCCCACTCATTTACAGCAATTACTCTTGATTCACCGTGTATGACTTTACCAACATAGTTATTTTGTCTCGTAGCACAAAAGTGCAAATGCAGGTGAGGAGACATTCATAAGATGCTCATGGACTCAGTATAAACAAATGTTTTTTAATGATAAAAATAAAGCTTGAATAAGTCCATTTTTTTATTTTACCTTCTGCCCTTAATCTTAATTTCCCAGGTATCCATTCCAAACACCGGTACAGCCTGTATGCGTGGGGTGCTGGAGTTTCTGTACTGTGGTCATCTGACGCCCTGTCCTGGACTAGAGCCCATGGAACTGATTGTTCTGGCCAACCGCCTCTGTTTGCCACGCCTTGTTGCCCTCACAGGTAACTACACTTTCTCTTTGATATTTTACAACGATTTTACCACCTATTTCCTTGAATATCGTGTACTGACAGTATGTGGCAGAATGTGGTTTTGACCATGTTTGATCTGTGCACAAATCATCTTTTATCCATGACTCCATCAGAAAAAATAGTAAAGAGTAAATCACATTGCCAGAAAACTTGATACTTGGAGATTAAAACGTAGGCCCTGATCAGTGTTGCAAGCAAACAGCCGAATTGATGTTAACGTGTACATTCTGTGGGTCTTCAGAGCAGCACGCTGTGGATGAGCTCCTCCAGTTGGCGGTGAAGGGAGTTGACGTTGATGGACAGGTGTTGGCTTACCTCGAGCTTGCACAGGTCTGTTCCTGTTACACTATCACTGTTCTTTAAATAGCTTAATAATAATTGATTCGTGAATTAAAAATGATGTAGTCTGTTATTCTGTTTAACCTTTTTACTTTAATCTCGCCTCACTTTTACAACTGCAATGACTCCTAATGACTCCTCTGTTTTTCCTTTTGCAGTTCCACAATGCCAAGCAGCTCTCAGCTTGGTGTCTCCATCACATCTGCACTAATTATAACAGCATCTGCCGCAAGTTTCCCAAAGACATGAAGGCGATGTCTCCAGGTACAGAAGCCTCTGTTTATCTTGATTTGCCTTTTATACATTCAGTTTTCCCCTCACAAGAACTTGGATGATTTTTTCTTTGGAGTGAACAAACACATATTTTTTCTCAAGCCCACCACCAAGGAATTGCAGCATGGCTTGTTCATAGAAAGCAGACATATGCCCCTCATGGGCCGTGTTAATAAGGAAGAACATTTTGCTCTTTCACCAGATACTTTAAAGGTTACATCAATTCTGATATTTCATGAAAGTGCATGTTTGTACAAAGATTTTATCATCACAGTTCTAAAATCTTGTCATCCCTCATGGGTTTTCTGTGTAGAATAATCAGATTACTTTCAATAGATCCCATTCACCTGAATCTTACATACTGGACCATTAATTCTTTCTTTCATCCTTTCCTTTATTGCATCATGCATGTCTGAAACTAGACCTGAAACACGTGTCCTTTCATGCTCTGTAGAGAACCAGAAGCACTTTGAGAAGCAGCGCTGGCCTCCGGTGTGGTTCCTGAAGGAGGAGGACCGCTACCTGCGCTCTCAGAAAGAGCGTGAGCGCGAGGAGGAGATCCTGCGCAAGCAACACACCAAACGGGGCTGGTGTTTCTGGAGACACCCGTCCTCCTCTCCGCATGTCTCCTAAACGTCCTCCACTGACTTTTTCATCACACCCAGGAAAAACCAACCCCCCCCAAAAGCTTGAAGAGGAGTTTGACTCTGAACCCTCTATCTGTGGAGAAATGACTCTCAGTGCTACTCTGCCTGAATGTCAGCGTGTTTTGGGGGAATGTACGTGCCTCTTTATAACTGTGGGTGACTTCATGAGTGCATTTTGGTATGCTTGTGTGACCAGTGTGGACTCAGCTGAAGGGTTAGCACGTGTGCGAGTGTGTGTGTTTGAGTGATGCTTCCGTGTTGAGTGCTTCCCAGACGCCCTCCTGATCTTTGAGGGCCTGTGGCGTTGCAGTGCAGCCCCCTGTCCCCTCCACCAGAGCTCCTTCCCTCCACCAGCACTCACAGGGTCTCAGCCTCTGAGTGACTGGACTGGGAGCCAAGGGCTCTCTTATCTCTCTCAGTCTCCTCCCTTCACATTGACCTTAATGACTATTACACACTGACCATGGCGGCTCCTCTCAGGGAGCTTACCTCTGCCTTCACTTTTACGCAGACTGTTAGCTTGCACATACATACCCATGCCCAAGCCCCCCCCCCCCTGGGAGTAGTGCACACTACTCCCAGGAAGCTCTGAGGACTTCGATGACTGCCACTGCACCCGCAAAGATGAGACTGTTAATCCAGAGCCCAGATATGGGTGTAAGGGTAACTTTAAAACTGCGAGCAAAATAGGATGCTCCAATCAGGAGGCCAAATCATAACCGTTAACCTCCAGAGTCTAGTCCTGTTGTGGTCCCTGGCATTCATCCTCCACTCCGTGCACGTTCCACCTCCTCTTGCAAACCACACCTGCAACATAAGAAAACATCAGCTCTCGGATTCACCAAAACTGCACCTCAGAGACATTCAAAGTGACCACTCTATAGCAATGATGGGGGGAGTAAAGAGGGCCAGCCTTACTGGATACCTCTACCACGGAGGAGTGATGGCTACAGTAATAAACAAATGCGCTTGTAACGTCCATGGCCACTAGGTTGCATTTGAGCACCTCAGCCAGCCTGCCTTTACACCCCTGCAACACTAGGGGCAGCACTGCTCAGGGCCCCCGGCACTAACCTGCACCCTAACAGAGTTTATGCTTACTTACCATCATTAGGATCATAAGTATAACTTCAGTCGTAAAGTGTTAGAGGAAAGTGGAAGCACATTCACAGTGTTATTGATGCATTTGAAAACTATACTTAACTTTTGGGTTTCACCTGATTCTGAATGCCAAAGCTGCGATTCTTTTAATCTCTCTCTTCCTCGTTTTCTTCATTTCTGCTTCCTTTATTAGCGGAGAAGGGGTGGAGGAGAGTTGAGGGCGTGGCTCGAAGGTGGAGGTGGTGGCGTTTGAATCCCTCCTCGTGGTAATGTTTGCTGGAGATTGCCTTCCATTCCTCTTGCTGGAATTGAAAATGGTGCTCAAGACACAATAAGTCCACAAGAACACACAGACATACACATGATTTTTTTATGTTCACAGTTCAACAGTCTGTCTTGTTTTGTGTTTACCTGTGATGAATGTGCAGAGAATTGATAATGGTATTGGAATCTGACACGAGGATTCTTAAACTTTAAGTTTTTTTCTTCAGAGGTCAAAATAGATAATTGCTTGTAGAATGTGTAGATCTCTGCTTTTACACACAGTGGTTACAACTTTGTTCTGTCTTTTATCTTGTAAAAAATATGATCTGTTTTGCTTCCTTAACCTTAACCAGGAAAATAATGTTACTTTAGCTTGAATTTGCAATCGCGAGTGTTGTCTCAAACAACAGACTGATTTATAACCGCATATGAGAGCTAATCGTATTTTCTTGCTAAGGGTGTTAATTTCTTTGGGCTTTAGGACTGAATGTAAAAACCAGACTTTGAGTTGATGAGATTTTTTTAGCACGTTTGTTGTATTTGCAGGTTTGGTGCCCCTCAGCTTTACGCAGGTAACTAAGGCTGATAGATAAATTGTGCAAGACGTGTTCATGGCGTTCATGTGATAAAGTCCTGAAATAGATGTGAGATGCGTTCTCATGAGACCAAAGTGAGAATTGAGGTGACTCTGCTGTGAAAAGAGTGAAAGTAGAGAATAAGTGCACAAGTCTCAGCAAGAATTACATGGAACCTACATTTTGGGTTTATTCCATGGATTTGATCTCATCCCAGGGCAGGATTATGGGAATTTAGAAATGATCACCTAAAGAGGAGGACGTTGGGGGGCAGTTTTTGGATGGACTTGCATGGCCTGCTTTTTTGTCGCCCCTAGAAAGGAGCGCTATTAGATTTGTCTTATTTGGTTGGATCTATGAAGCCTCTTCTCTCGGTCCATGTGCCTTTTAGTGACACAAAATTTAAAACCCTTTTTTTTTCTTATTTCAAACGTACAGACAGGTTCTGCAGCTGCTGACTTGATGGATGCAGCAGACAATGGCTATAACTATAAAAAGGATTATGCCATTTGGCTTTATGACTTCTCAGTCATGATCCATCTTGATTTTAGACCCAACGAGAGGCTTAGATTTGTTTTCACAGAAGACACGTTGACATGTGACAGTAGGAAAAACACAGGGGCACATAAGAAATGAATAACTGGGACTGTTGAATAGAACAGAGACATTTTAATGTGACACCTGCTGCTTCTCTACTGTGACAAGTCAAAATGTCGGCCCACTGCTCGCTGTATGCAGAAAAAATGGCCTTGAATCAGTCTGTTAGTAGAAAGCAGTAGGTTGGTGTAATCATTTGGCCTTAGATTAGTCTGCTCCTTCTAGTTTGGTGTCTGCATGTAGAAGGACTCACATGGTGTTTGGGATTCTCCACTGACCAGGTGATGGAGAGGCAGTGATCACAAAGAATCAGGTGTAACTTCTAAACCACTGATGATTCTGAGAAAGTAAAGCTTTTTTAAAATAAGCACTAGCTGGCCTGTGTGCTGGGAGGGTGAAGCCACTTTTTGGGATGTGGTTCATTTGCATGGTGGCCTAACATTGTCATTATAATGACACTTGGTGTTGGAATGCACTTTCTTTTCTTTCTTTTTTTGTACTGTACCTTCTCTGTGCTTAGCATGACTTGTTCCTTATGTATAGTTGTTTCTTTACCTGATGACTGTAGCACTATGTTTCCACTTGAGTCTTTCAAATTTTCCCACATTGAACCCCACGGTAGCCTTCTTCTCGCTATGTGGCTTTATGCACAAGTTAGTTTCAGCTCAGCTTAAGGTAGCATCACTAAATACACAACTTTAAAAGTGCTGGGACGACCACAGACGCTTAAAAACAAAAAACAAATGCAGACGTGCTGTTGTGCAGCGGTATAGCTGTCCTGTTTTGTAGTTAATACAATCAATCACACTTGTGATTTTAAAGATACTGGGTACAGGGTAAACACCTGAAAAAGCATCAAGAGCAAACTCTCAAATGACATCAAGTATTACAAATGAAATCAAGTATTACCACACACATATTTTGAGAATATCCTGAATGGCTGAAAGCTGATTATACTGTTTTTAGTCTGCATGAAATGACAGAGGTATTAGGGAAAAGCATGATGCATGTTTCTGGTATTAGCTGGGTTTCTGTATATACAGCAGAGTTTCTCAACCTTGGGGTTCTGACCTCATTTGGGGTCACTTGATATGCTCACGGGGTCAAGTAATTAAAAAAGGTTAAGAAACCCTGACTCACAGAAAGGAAAAGAAATGCAGATTTAAACTGTATAAGCTTTATTCCACAATATTTGCTCCACATTGATATTCTTCTATCTCATCGCATCCTTTTTATGCCACTACTTTAGGTGGCGCTCTTTTTTCCTCCTTCCAGGCCTGATCTTCCTTTTCTTTTGGTCTTTTCTGCTGTGCCTTCAGTGAAATCTCACTCTTTGGGCTGCATGTAGGCTGATGTTACTTTGACCTGCAGCCTACTGAGCACAGAACTAAGAGCGGGCAGCTTTCTTTAATGTACAGTATCTTAAAGCTCGTGTAGATTAGATTCCTTCAATAGTTTTGATGCTGAAAGCAGTTACTGGCTATTAGGGACATAGTGATAACATCCATCCAAGATATGGAGCTTGACAAGTTCAGTCTGTAATATATCGCCGGTTCTAAAGCTACGCAACTTAAATTACATATGACCAAGAAACCCAGTGAACCAGCAATTTTAAAACAATGTATTCGCACTCTTTTCCGGTGCCTGCACTTTCTATTATGTAGCCTAATACTACTTTTTTGATAAGTATGCCAATTCTTTATATTTACCACTTTTCTTGATCAGAAGTTAAAAATATCTTTTCCACTTTCTCATGATCTCTTTCTCTCTTAAGCCAAATTCACCAGTGTACCCTATTGCTTCCACTATTTAGCTGCATTCTAATATGCTGCATAAAGTCAGTGTATTTCTATTTGAGGAACAGCATCTGTGAAGTACCAGTTGGATTAAAGGCAGATATTAGCTGGGACAACTACGTATATTATGCTTTAATGAAGATAGTTGTCCAGTACAGTGTTGTAAATGTTAAACGAGTCCCGGCTGGATTTAACCTCTCACCTTATAACTGCTCACTGCACTGTATGTATTTACTAAGCTGGTGTATACATAGGATCTTATGTAGGGAGAGGCCCAGGACATGGGGAGTGTTTCTATAGACAGACGTGGTGAATTAACCCCTGGTCTATACTGTAATGTTGAAGTGGGTCTTTCATACTGTATAGTATTGTTATGCACTTTTTTTTTTTCCATTGGCTCATATGAGTTTAATATTAATATTTACTGCTCACGTTAATTATTGTGTGTTAATTATAATACAAGGCAAGAGAGAGAGAGAGAGAGCACACCACACTCACACAACTATTAAGGGCTTTCAAGAAAATATACAACAATCAGAATGTTTTGCTGCTCCGCTGTTGCAAAAAATGTTTTGAAACTAAAATTTTTTAATATTTTTGAACCACTGTGATTTGTACAAACTTTCAAAAGGAAAGAAAAGTTTTTTCTTTTTTTGCCATTTCAGTATTTTGATGTTTGACATGGATTTTATTAAAACTGTTAATCTTTGAACTTGTCTCAAATCTGTTATTGTGTGTTATGTGTGACTGTGTTATTTGTTCCACTTACTGTTACTCAGTTTAAAAATACACTGTCAGACAATGTAGATCTCTAAAAGAGGAAGAAGGATGTAGCTCCATCTGTCGTCTAAACTGGTAAAAAGCAAGAATAGATAGTGAGTCAACACTTTACAGACAACATTCTAGTTACCAATAGACGATGTAGCACTATAATTGAAAACATGGGAAGTGCTTAATGGTAAAAACTGCTAAATACAAAAATGGGTGATACCAAAATAGACCTGGAAAGATAAGACACCATGATTTTAGCTGCCTGGTGAAAAAACCTTTAACATCTAGATGCATATTACAATTCTATTCAATTAATTTTCTATTGATTTATTCTATTCAGGCATCTTATTATGGATTACCTCATCCTGTACTCACCAGCAACATAGAATCTGATTGTATTATTATGCATATTGGTTTTGGGTTGACAGCTGAAACAATGACATGTTACTCAGTTTATATTATTAAAGAAAAATCTATACTGTGCATAAATACTCTCACTGATGATGGACTCACTATGGTTGGTTTGGCTCAGTTTTTGTTACACAGGGTGAATGCAAAACTCTTACACTTTGTTCATTTGATGCAGCTGTGCCACCTAGTGGACTAAACACAACTTTACTGTGAGAAACATAAATTAAACTTGCTATTGTATTCTAATGCAGACACAGCTTTATGCCTTAGATGTGCCATGTGGCTCTTTTTTTAATTTGAATTACAGCATTTGCGGCACCACTTTCTTTGTTCCCATGATGTAAAAGAAACTGAACAAAACATGTATCATGCATAACAGTGTTTGGCCATGCGGGATCATAGATATTTACTGTTTCAGGGCCACAAAGCAGCACCACGTTTTTTCCTCTTAATCCCTCACTGTGCGTGATTAAAATTCCAATGAAACTCAAAGCTCAAACATTCTCACAGCTTTCACCAAACACAGCTATCTCTTTAAATCTAATAATAGAAGCTATCCCCTGTGTTTGCCCTCTTACAAACATATATCCTTGTATATGTCTTTTTATGTTTCCTCATAAGCAAGGAGGAATAGATCGAGTAAGATCCCTGAACACATGCATCATCCAGATCAACACGCCGTGAGCTGAGACTTTAAATAGAATGAGTCTGGTGAGGGATCACAGAAAGCCACAGATGTATGGGAAGTGTTGCCATGGTGATGGTTAGTGATGTGGCAGATGATGGGTAACTTTCTGAAAGTGACGAAGTAAGGTTGTGGTTGCGGGCAGTGGGATATTTACATTCATACGCCTTATTGACGTGTGTGTGTGTCTCCACTAGTGTACAATTAAAGTTGCCTACCATCAAACTCATAGTTCACAAGTTTTGCTTCCATTCTCTAGTATATTCACTCGTGTGCGATGGTAGCAGTGACCTACAGCATCTTCCATGGTCACAAGCTTTGGGTCTGAACACTGATTACAGACCTTTATGCTGCGTCAGCTGTTTGATCCGTGGGCTGCGTTTCGTGTTTCTCACCGACCTTGCCTCTGCGCTCGCACCGCAGCCTCGTAGAACACAACTTGAGTCACACACACGTGCTGACATCACCACATCTGGCTCTCATTTCCCAGGGTTCCCTTGGGAGCAGATAAGAGGGTCTGAATATGAGACCAAACACTGAAACACTGTCCAACAGTTGGTACAATGTGAATGTGTCTGGGCTCCTTATGGACCAAGGAGACGCATGCTTATGATTTCACTGCTTCAAACAACAACACACACACACACACACACACACACACACACACACACACACACACACACACACACACACACACACACACACAGACAAGAGGGCACATGCCATGGTTATTTTATAATGAAGTGGAGCAACTAGAAATACAAAGGAGGTGCACTGGTTGAGGAGTGACAGCACATTCCTCTGTGTGCTTCACCCTCCTCCAAGCTTGTCTCATCTACATGTTGTTGGTCCAGACCTTCCCAAGGCCTGTTCCATAAACAAAACTGTCTGCCCCCCATACACACACACACATACACACACACACATACACACACACACACACAACTTTAAATCAGGGCCTGTCAGAGCAAAGTTTATGAATACTCTATTATCCTGACACCGTGGTCTAATTTAAGGGCTACTTTGTGTAGGAAAGCAGACGAGGAGCTCCTTTTTCTAAAACAAAGATTTGTGGCCTCTTTTTATTTCTGCATTACTCTGCTGTTTGTTTATGTCAAGCATTAAGTCACAGGAGCAAGGCAGCCCCCAAACCAAGAGGAGATCCAACGATCTTTAAGCAATAACTACCAAAGTGAGGAGAAAAAGCTGTGTTCATTTGGAAAAATGTTTTTCAGTGCTCCTGTTTGTGTTTACAAATGTGAAACCCGCACACAGCACAGGCAGGCACACGGACTCACACCAGCCCGAGGCTGAAGTGAAAGATATCTCAGGGTTGTTGTGAAGCTGCATATTTGAGCAGTGACCTCACCTGGAAGCCTGGTGAGAAAGATTTACTGTGTGTTGACCTCTTTCTCTCTCACACACACACGCAGAGAGACTCAGAGAAATGGGATGTTTGACCATGACATGCACATGTGCCCTCTCTTTGTTTTGTTTCTCTGTTGGCTCCAGCTGTTGGTATGTTTGTGGGTCCTTCTGTCTGTTGAATGTTTGTATGCTGCTGGCGAATTTCCCAATGAGTCGTATCATCACCACGAGAG